TTTTTAGTGTAAGTAGGATGAAGAAAATAATTAAAGCATACACATGCATATATTAGAGAACAGAAAAATATAGCATTATTAGAAATCCAAGAACAAATTTCTTGTACAGAAAAAACATAAAAGTGATCACCTTCGATAAATATAATCGATAAAAAAGGAGGAAAATGTCTCGAATAAATTACGAGGGTTAAGGATCAAACAGCAGTTTCTGAAAATGTAAAAAACAGGCAGCTGCGATCGCAATCTAGTTACAAAGCTAAGTCAGGTTTGGCCAACTTTACCTGTCAAGGGCCGATGGTACCTATTTGAGACTTGGTGGGCCGTGTAGTCTCTGTCGCAACCCCTCCATCCCTGCTAGCGTTTGGGACCCACTAAATTCCAGAGTTAAAGGTAAAGATCAGTAAAAGACAATGATGGGTTAATGAACAACAGTTGAGTGGGAGAGGGCTTTCTAGAGGCATTTGCGCGCAGAACCAGTGAGGTTAGTCACAATAACTCGTCTGGACAGCCAGTTGGCAAATGCATCAAGAGCCCTAACGGTGTTGTTGACGGTGCGCGTCGATACCTGTGGAGGAGGGAGCGCTGCTGCCCGGCTGCCGTGGGCCCCGGGCTTTGGAGAAGGGGCCTTTGGAGCTAGGGCTCCAGCTTCCGAAGAAGGGGCGCCGCCGCCGGGACGCGCAGAGCGAGGCGGCCGGGACAAAGCCCCGCGCGCGTCCTGCGGCCGCTCTCCAGTGCCCTCTCCTGGCACAAATCGGGAGCTCGCCGGCAGAGGACGAGCGTGGTGCGCAGACTCCCCTTTGCAGAAAAACAGCGCCGCGGAAAGCGACGGAGGGAAAACTGGCGACACCTTCCTAAACATTCCAATTTTAAGAACAACTTCTTTATAAAACTTCCCTCGAGGGTACAACCTGTACTGGGCATTCTCCAAACCGGAGACTGGATTGTAAAAAGCTTAAGGGACAGAGTGATTTCCGGGAACGAGCCAAGACTTTTCATTCATGAATATTAGTGTTTTATTACTCATTTTAATCTTGACTTTGTGGTAGATCTGGCTTGGAAGTTGTAAGGACAAGGATGTAGTTTTCCAGTAGTTTTATTTCTCCACATTTTTTGTGCAAAATGCACGACACTCTTACTTCCGCAAAGCAGCAATTCTTATCGCTCGTTGTAAGAACTGTGAACTTGAGCAGCTGCGTCACAGAGCATCGATAATGTAACCGGACAGAAATCGAAAAACCTCAGGCAGCTCTCTAATATGGTTACACACCGAAAGCAATACGCTCATGCTGGCATCACCTTATTAGATCAGCTGGTCTTGACTGAACCCAAAGGACAAAGGACGCTCGCATTTCTTGAGAAGAACATTTATTATGAGGACAATCGGGTACTAATTCACTTTTGACAGGAGATGTGTAAAAGTCTAAGAACATTCAGCTACTTACTGCTTAAACAACAAGGGTGCTTTTCTCCTGTTTACAGAGAGAATATTGTTTGACCTGTCCTTGATCATACGGTGCACGGTATGTTTGCCATATCGTGCCTTGGAATGGTAAAACGCAGGCTTTTCAACTTGACCTCTCAACTGAGAAAACTGAAAGAACTGGTTCACCTTGTTAAGTCATAAACCCGAGATCCCACAGAAATGATCGAATGTGGTGCGTTTGCTCTATGCAACACAGTAGTTGAAATATTCCTCGGATGACCAATGAACTCCTTTCCATAATGAAATTAATAGTTGCCCTGGAAACCAATTGGTGAGCAAATTAGCAGACCACCATCTCTTCCCCTGCTTTTTACCACCGTAAATTTAGTAATTATTTTTGTAATTTCTATGAGGCCACCAAATAACAGTTCCCAACACCGCATAAAAACACTGGGGCGGAGGGGCGTGTGAGATGAGGTAATGCGGAATGTTTCAAAACGATTCCAAGTTTTCAGCCCCCCCCCTTTTTTTTTCTTTTGGCTCCCTGTGTTACAAATCTGTCCCACAAGATGACTGTCCTGAAACTTAACACCCGAGGAACTCTTTTAAAGCCAGGTCCGTGTCTAATGGGGTAACTTTAGACTGTAGAAAACGTGAAAAGACCATCCAGCAATTCTGAGTGCATGACCTAAGGACTGGCATTTGGATACAAGGAACTATGTACTGGAGCTGCTTTGCAGCACTATTACTAACAGGGGAACTCGGAGGCCACCTGAATGGGCGACAATGGTCAGGGAATTAAGACACGGTATGATGTCCATGTGATAGGCTCTTAGAAGTTGAAAAGATTCAACTAAATGTGTGTATATGTAAAAACACAAATTGATGTAGTTATGTATGTATATGTACATAATGTATTGGACATCATATACAAGTATGTGTACATGTATCTGTATGTGTATAAGTGTGCATCTATACATATGTCAAGAACGTGAGGAAGAGCACCAGGTCAAGGGGTCCCATGTGCATGATCTGAGTCCACATGTCAAGCTCAGGGGAGTATTCATAGGCAGGCACTCAGGCCATGGAGCCACACCAGCCAGGGCTTAGCTCAGGGGAGTATTCTCTCTGAAAAAGCACACGGGGAAAGATCCAGGTCATGGTGAAAGGAATTTTAGTGAAATCCAAGATGTGTCTTTTAAAACAGTGGCTGGAAACAAATCTTACAAAATAAATGGTTAACTTTATGGCGAAAAGGTATTTTATGTTCTCCTTTCTTGTGTTCCACAAACTTTAAGTTTCTTACAAAGAAAACTAATGCTGTGCTAGCTACAAGATCCCAAGGAAGAGTGGCTGTCTCTATCCATTTTCTTCCTTGTCATAGGAGCCTAGCAGGAGCAGGTACATGTCCCTTGGTTAGCTAATGGCTTATGAACATTCCAGAACTTCAGCAATTTCAGCCCTGGCAATGAAATGTGAGCTGTTCCATCAATGAGTGCAAAACATACACAACACAAAGGCATATTGCTTTTAGCTATTGCTGCCTAACAAACCACTGCAAAACACAGTGCCTTAAAGCAATACGCATTTATTACTGATCAACAATATGTAGGTCAGCCCTGGCTGATGTGGCTCAGTGAATTGAGCCAAAGGGTTGCCGGTTCGATTCCCAGTCAGAACACATGCCTGGGTTGCGGGGCCAGCTCCCCAGTAGGGAGCACGCGAGAGGCAACCCCACACATTGATGTTTCTCTCCCTCTCTTTCTCCCTCTTCCCCTCTCTCTAAAAATAAACAAATAAATCATTTTTAAAAAGTAGGTCAACTGGGTGGTTCTGCTAAACCAGGCTAGGCTTGGCAGTTTGGTTGGCTTGTCTTTCCATCTGTAGTGGACTGGTAGGCAGGCTGGGGGTCGGCTGGTCCAAAATGGTTTCACTCACATGTTGGGGTAGTCAACCGGTTGTTGGCTGAGTGATGAGAATAACTAGGCAACCTGTCTCTTATCCAGCAGGTTAGTCCGGACTTGTTCACATGTCAAGCAAGATTCACTGCTGCCATATTTTCTGGGCTAAAGCAAGTCCCAAACCCAGGCTAGTCAGGGTTTCGTACATAGCCCAGCAGCTCCGGTGATGTGATCCATTGAAAAGTCAGCCCTCAACAGAAGAAAAACAGAGCAAATTCAAGGGGGAGGAAAATAGATCCTACCTCTTGATAAGAGAAACTGCAAATTCACGCTTCAAGGGTTAGGGACAAGGACATGGTGTGTGTGTATGCGTGTGTGAAGATTTTGAAACATTTTTCAATGTCTACCATGCCATGGCTTCTTATGGACCACAAAATTAACAAAGGTTTCAATGCAATGATTGGTTAGGCTTTATGGGCTCCAATAGAGCATTTTTGGTTTTCACTTCGTTTTAAATACATTCGAACAGCGTTCATCCTGACACTAACGGGTGTGCCTCTATACAACCCGCAAATCATTTTCCAGATAATAATGGACAACTAATAGAGGCTGACAAGCTGAAATTGCCTTGAAAGTCACCTTTACAATAGTGAATATTGAGCAGTAAATAGAACTGCAGGCTGCTGTAATTTACCTTGTGCCAAAGCAGATCTCCAAAATGACGTATTAAATCATTCCACAGAAGGTCGTAAACCTGAGTGAGAATAGTACAAATCAATAGGGAAACACAGTCGCGCACTTTACTACCTATGGTTTCTCTTGACCTTCTGGAAGGACGAAGATTGATGTCACAAAATGCTAAAACATGAAGACTTTGTAAAGATGAACTGGCCATGATTTGCATTATTCTGAATGCACGTTACTTTTGCTTTCACCAACTTGTTCATTAACCTTTTATTGCTTATATCATAATATCAGTATATACTTATTCGTATGTCCCACCATGCAGAAGAATTTGGAAGTCAAAGAAGTTGGAAGATGTCAACTCCATGTTCGCTTATGAAGGAAATTACGTGAGGACACAGCACTGGATGTTCTGAGCTTTGGGAGCAGTGTGAACTCAGTGGGGAAAAGGAAGCGTGGCTGGCCTTGGCCAATGACGCGTGAGCAAAGCCAGGCTGGAATATTGGATCAAACAGCCTTTTAAATTCTCAGAAATGGGTTTTCACCCTGACTGGTGTGTCTCAGTAGTTGGGCATCACCCCGCAAGGTGAGGGGTTCAATTTGCAGTCAGCGCACATGCCTGGGTTGCAGGTTCCGTCTCCGGTTGGGGCGCATACAAGAGGCAACCGGTCAATGTTTCTTTTTTGCATTGATGTTTCTTTCCCTTTCTTTCTCCCTTCCTCCCCCTCTCTCTAAAAATAATAATTTTTTTTTTTTAGAAAAATGGGTTTCATGGTGTATTTTCTTGAGTTTTAGCCATAGCCAATACCTGTGTCTCAGTTTTAACTGAGAGATAATTCACATACCCTAAAAATCACCTTAAAAGTGTATAATTCAGTGGTTTTTAGCACAAGATTCTAAAATGCAGGTTATTGAAGTATTTTTAATACACCTTCACATGACTTAAAAGGAAAGCATTAACACAATAAATGTGACACTTAACTGCACGTTTGGCAGTTTAGGAAAGTAACAATTTAAAAACTGACAAAAGGAGGATAATGCATAATTTTTATAAGCATAAGGATGGTCTAGACATTTAAATTCTATTTTAACCGATGAATTATTTGAAAAATTATAATAGATAATATTTGCGACACTTACTTCAATCAACCTAAGCAGCAAATAATCATCTTAAGGGAAGTTGTGATTCAGAAATACCTTTGGGGAAAGAAAGTCACTTTTCATTATTAGAAAACAAATGAATTGTAGACTCAAGCTATATCACTATAAAGGTTCCAAGAGACAGTCTGTGTTCATTTCCCTGGCGACATTTAACAAGTAGATTCTTTTAAGGGAAACTTTCTTCTTTTCCAGGCCATGCATAATGACTGATAACACTTTTTCAACAATCCAGAGCACACTGCAGGTGCACCGCCTTTAAACATCGCGTAAAAGCGCATGGAGATGAAACCTGCCTGAACCCAAATGCTACTCCAGATCAGATACCCAAACCCAAGTTACCTAGCAACTAAGTGCACTAAGATAACGTCCACTCCGATTTAGAAGTTCTGATTCTCACTGGTCGGTATATGTCAAGTCCCTTCGATGAAAGCATTTACAAATTTTTAAAACCTCCCCACGGCCCTTCTTGTTCATGAGCAGTGACCTTCGGGAATTCAGAGCCACTGAGCTGAGCTACAAGGAAAAGCAGGGGCTGTACCCCAGGCGCGTGTGGTGCTGGCCTCCCTTCAATCAAGTCAGGGTTTCCTGAAACGTCCCGGGGGGCGGGGGAGGTGCAGGGGAGGCATGTGAGGGACTAAGATAAGGATTAGCAGGGCGGCCTGAGAGGCCACCAGCTGGTCAGGATGGAGGCGGGTGAACGTGCTGGCCCTAGACCAGCCCAGGGTGCGGCTACGAGATAGACCAGGGGCCACAGCAACTTCCAGTCACGACCTCCCCGTCACGCTGACAAGGGACACAAAATCAAAGGAAGGGAAAACTAAAGGCCTTAACAAAAGAAGGCACAGAAGTAAAACAAAAATAAAACAAAAAGTTGAGTCAGGGTGTCGCCGATCTGTTCCTTCGCAAGAAAGAAAGAAGACAAGGCCAGAGTGAAGACTCTCTCCCCTGGCTCTTCCCAACAAGACGGGCTCTGCTTTATTTAGAACATCAAAAATAACATCTTACAGAATGGGAACCATAACATTACACAACAAAGTATATCTGTAAAAATCTCAAACATGTCAGGCAACGCTTTTTTTAGATCACCAAAAATAAGGTTTTACAGAAAAGGAACTGTAAAAGCAAATGTATAGCTGCAAATTTTCTTTTGCCTTCAATATCAATTCCCTGTAAAATATTTTGGGACCACTTTGCAGTTTCCAAGCAAAACAAAATTGGTTGGACAGAGCTGCTCAGTATCATCCTAAGAATGAAAACAGTTTGCAAAACAATTTTGCTTAGTGCTAACGAATAACTAAAACATGTGGTTATTATTAATAACTCCAACCTCCACTGAAACAGCCTGACCCATGCACGCTTTCGTGAACGCTACCCTGAGAACATAGCTGCTCTCTTCTGACACCAATGGCGCGCACAGCGGCGAGGGTCAGATGTCGTAGGCTGTTCAGGCACCACAGAAGTACTCCTTACCAAAAATAACTAAGTATGTAATAACTCAAATAACTGGGCCCGCCTCTGCTAGAGCCTCCCTGGGCTGGGCATCCCATCCCCCTCCTCCTCCCCTACTCTCTGCTGGGGACCTGGAACGCAAAGCCAGGCGGGGAGGCCTTCTCGCAGAGCCGGCGGAAATGCTAATAAACCGCCCTGGGGTTCTTAGTGCTGTAGTGCGCCTCACAGGCAGCCACGTAGGCAGACTCTGGGAAGAAGTCGTCATGGTACTCTGCTAAAAACCTGGAGAGAGAGAGAGAGAGAAAGAAACGGCCCCAGTGATTACGGCAGTAAGACGAAATACCAGCGAGCAAAATCTTAACTTCCAACCACTCTAACACGTCAGTCTCTTTTGGCATTCGGAAAAAATATAATCTTGATTTCTAGATACTGACTACTTTCACTGCACATTTCCAGGTTCCACAGTAATTAACTGTCATCAGAACCCTTCGCTATCAAGCATGTAAATGGAAGAACTGAAACTCCACTAGGTGGCAGTCTTGATTGTAGAAACACTTCCATAACAAAAAGGCCTCCGTGGCTGCTCCTACACATTCCTGTTTTATTTATTTATTTTTAAGATTTTATTTATTCATTTCTAGAGAGACAGGAAGGGAGGGAGGGAAAGAGAAAGAGGGAGAGAAAGTTGATCGGTTGCCTCTGCCACGCACCCCGACTGGGGACTGAACCCACAACCCAGGCACATGTCCCGACCAGGAGGCGAACCGGGTAACCCTTTGCTTAGCAGGAGGACGCCCAACCAACTGAGCCACATCAGTCGGGGCTACATTTTCCTGTTTTAAAAACAAACTATAAAAAATATAAACTCAGTAACTGTCCCTTGAGAAATTGGCAACGTTTCTACGGGCTCAGTGACACCAAAACGGAACGGTATAGCGAGTAAAGGACATCTTATGTTGTCATTTGCCATGCCCGAAGTGTTACAGTTCCAGCTGACAGTAGCAAAATACAAGCAAAAGGACCGACTTATGTCTGCCAATGGCCGCGGAAACGTGGCCATTCAGCAGTCAGTCCCTGCTACAGGGAAGCATCACAGGCTTCCCAATAAAGGACTAAGACATTCTCACACGGGTCCTATTAACTAGTAAGCTAACTGGCTTCGTGTTTGTTTCCCTGGCTTCCTCCCGTGTGCCCAAATTCCTAAAAAATTCAAGGATAAACCTCTGCAATACCTTCTTCAGTAAAAACTAAGCTAAAATTCATCCAAGGGTGAACCTTTTCTTCCTTGACTCTCCCCTTTTTACGGTGATTACTATGTCCATTGATTTTCTGGTTGATGCCTTTGGATACATTTTCAAAACCAACAACTACATTTATTTGTAAATATTTCTAAGTTACTTCCTAAAATCCTAATTTCTCTTTTGTGTCAAGTGTACTTCAAAATCAGCAGCCTTTCCCAAGCTAACTGGCAGCTCTCTCTTCATGTTTTATTGTCATTATTTGACTTCAGCTTACAAAATTTTTATGCCAAACAGAGTTGTGGGTTTGTTTGAGGGGGAGGCTGGAAGGGAAGAGGGTAATTTTGAACTTTGTTTCTAATAAAATGTTTCAAAGTCTAATTCCACTCATGGACACTTTATTCAAAATGCCTGCGGGGAAGTATCTCACAAACTCCAGGGCTGACTGCTCCGCCGGGAGCGCTCTCCGCTCCGTGGAAGACCCCGCTTGACTCGCTCTTGCGGGCTCGGGCCTGGCCACAAGGAAAAGGCACGCACATAGAGAGAAGGAAGAAAGCGCAAGTTGTGGCTTACGTTGGCACGAAAGCTAAACTTTAACTTGCACAATTTTATTGTATAGAATTATAATAAAAGACATTTTTTTTCTTTTAAAGACAGAAAGTCAGGTAGATAGGACACGCTGGGTGAGCCAGGGTGAGGAGGGGCCTTGCCTGCCAAGGAGAGGAACTAGTCAACAGACACCCAGGTGGGGGAGCGAGAATGGGCCGGGCCACCGGGCAGGGGGCCACGCCCCCAGCATGGTGCTGCGGGGGGAGTAAAGGTGGGGCGAGCGAGCCTATGGTGCGCTGAAATGATTCTCTGAACTCACAGACCGTCAGCAATAGTCCTTATCTTAACTTTCCCAAAATCCAACTGGTAAATGCTAATATTTAAGTTCCTTTAGGTACTTGGAACAAAAGAGTATTTAATATTTAAGGGACTCCTGAATGCAAAAAACGAAACTAAATTATCAATCTTACTCAATCACTTCCCTATAATTAATTTTCTTTTCACAAGGTTATCCGCTGAATTCTTTTGGTGACACAAAAAATTTTACGTCCATACAATGAATACTCTTGATTCAGAAAGCGGATAAATTACCACGCCCTGGCTGGTGTGGCTCAGTGGATTGAGTGCTGGCCCGGGTACCAAAGGGTCGCGAGTTCGATTCCTACTCAGGGGACAAGCCTGGGTTGCAGGCCATGTCCCCAGGAGAGGGTGCTCGAGAGGCAACCACACATTGATGTTTGTCTCCCTCTCTTTCTCCCTCCCTTCCCCTCTAAAAATAAATAAATAAATTCTGAAAAAGAAAGAAAATAGCCAACCTCCCCATATTATAATTACAGTTACAACCAAGCATACTTAGGTAATACTGCTATTACTTAAAATATCAGAGACGGCGTCCACACTTGCTAAAGAGAAATTCAGAGAAGTCATATATGGCGCAGTATGTATAAGGCAGTAGAGGTTAAGTTTTGACAGAGTAATAAAAATACCTCAGAAAGAGATCAAAGTGCTTCAGTAAAGCCTTCAGATTCTTTTCAGAAAAGGACATCTTTCCAAGGATTTCTGGAAGTTTCACTGCATTAAAAAGAAGAAACCATTTACAATCAGCAGGATCTGGCAACGGAACGGGTAGGACACATTCACGGATTGTCTGGGTCTGTTTCTTCTCTTTTGAAATGAACATAACATCTACATTACCAAACAAAACTAAAAACTCCAGGTGAACACGAAGACACAGGAATAGTACGAATGTTGCAAATATAATTTTTATGCAATTTAAGATTCGTGAAGCGCCTTGCTTTTTAAAGAGGTCACCTTTCAGTAATTTTTCTTAGACCCCAAAATTACCGTAAGATGAACCTATGCTAACAGGAGTGTTCACACCAAAGCGAAGCAAAGGGAGGGGGGAGTAAAGAAGAAAGCAAGGGCCAGGATTTCTTACCAAACAATCGCAGCAAGTGTTGTGCCCCGTAAATGTAGGAGGGTGGAGGCGGCTGGTCGCCTGGAGGGTAACTGTCTGGTACGAGTTTCCAGGAGAGGACCTGGGAAAAGCACGAATTGGACACTTTGTTGTTGTACCTTAACACTCCATTGCCAAAGGACCTCAACGTCTGGAATTCTGGCAGAAATACATGTGCTTTGACATTCTCAGGCCAGCAGGCCGATGTCACCAAATGAGAGTCACATTCCCACCCCCCCCAAGCTTCCTGTCCCTCTGGCACCTCAGGTCTTGCTCCAGAGCTGGGCCAGGAAATGGGAGGGAAGTGTGACAACAAACCAACGTGGAAGTTCTGAAGAAACCCCTCTCACTTTCCCATGGAGCTCTTTGTGGGCATGAGCTCAGGACACAGGAGAGTGCACTGTATTATGCTGAAGAGGATCGACACACAGAATAATTAAGTTCAATACGACACTTGCAAAAAAAAGCGAGTATGCAATATAAAATATCGTGTATAGTTATAATGTAAACACAGAAAAAAGCAAGAAGTGTATACTGGAATGTTAAAGTTCATTTCTTAGTCGTGGAATCATGATATAGAGAGCATGAGAATCAATATAGATCCATGTTTTCCATACAGATTACATATCAGCATATATATTGCAGTTTTCTACCAACATTTTTCAAAACATTTTTGCCTTTTAAATCAATCCCAGGAGGATCCAGCTTCCTCGGCAACATAGAGATACTTCTAATCACCTAAAAATTATGATAATAAACTGTACGTAGAGGAAAAAACAAGACACTATATTAAAATAAACACAAGCTTATAAAAATACATAAGAGTGTGGAGGGGGAGAAGGCTTAAAATTATGGAAATACTCTACTTCCTAATTGTCAACAGCTACTACTTATAAATTGGCTCTAACTATTTTGGTCATTTTGCCCCTTTTCCTTTACTGAAAATCCGCTGTAGTAGAAAATGAGGCAGTAAAAAGTAACCCAAAGATGTTCTGAGTATTATTACTATTGTTTCAAACTGTCCTAATTTCTGCTACATTATATTCACTTGGGAAACTAATTTGACCCGCTGAATCAAGCGAAAACAGATGTGAGCCCTGAAAACACTTGCAAGCTGACACTTTCTGGCAAAAGCATCTACCCCTCCGCTCCCTCCGCCCCCTCCGCCCCCTCCGCCCCCTCCGCCCCCTCCGCCCCCTCCGCCCCCTCCGCCGAGTCGTCCTCCCCCTCCTGCCCGAAGAAGCAGGGACGCCCCCCCTCCTCGGCGGGGCTCACAAACCATCCTGAAACACTCCCTGAAACACACGCTACCAGCTTCAGTGAAGTGACCTTAAATGTAGAGTTTTAAAATGCAAAGCTTCCCCACCTGCAAAATGGAAACCCAGCAGCAAGGGGAGGATTTGAGGTTAATTCAGGTCAAGTGCCGGGCACAGGGCCGACATACAGCAGGCCCTCCGGTGACGGCTATTAACAGCATTGTGAAGGACGCGTTTTATATTTTTAAATGGTTGAAAAAAACAGGGGGAAAAAAAAAAAGAGACCGTCTCATCACAATGAAAATTATCTGCTATTCAAATCTCTGAGTCCCTAAGAAAGTTTTAGTGGAACACAACAGGCTCGCTCATTTACAAAGTATCGATGGCTGCTTCTGGAGTGGCCCAGCCTTGTTAGATACTGTGTAGCCACAAAGCCTCAAATGTTTACTGTCTGGCCTTTGCAGAGGAAGTGTTCTGACACCTACTATATAAAATGGCAACACGGTAGGTCCTGGAGTCCTCACATTTGGTTACAATGTTGATGAGAGGCCGTAAGAATTTAACTCTTATTTATATCGATTAGCCTATGGTAAAACTGGTTTTATTTTATGTTGTTGCACTTAAACAACCTACCCACGATGTTAAGTGAGGACTTACTGTCCTCATGTACCAATACTTGTAGTTCTTTAAGATAAAAGATGAATGTAAGTATAAGGCTAGAGTCTTAAGAATGTTCTCATTTTAGGAAACAAAAACACAATGTTGCACATCATACAAACAATTCTGTGAATACCCACAGCAAGAGCAACGTCATGCTTCTACGGAAACCCGATTTCCTTCCACTGGGCTTCAGCAACCACAAGAGGCAGGACTCACTGGGGGCGAGGAGCAGGCACTAACTCTACCTCATTTATCTCATTAGTTCTTCTGCCTTCGAAGCTGGCAAACACCGCACTCCCTTCCTTGCTAGGGGTCACAGGAACCGGTGAGGATGATCTGCTGTGCACGGGGGTCTCTTCAAGAGGAAAAGATGTTCATTATTGACTTAGAGATCACAGAGCTGTAAAGTAGAGACTGCGGGAAGACGGTGGCAAACAGCAGAGAAGTTATTCATCTTTAACGATAAGACTCTCCTATTACAAGACAGTACCTAGAAAATTATTTGGGGGGGGAAAAAAAAGGGAATCATGTCCTGATAGAAACTACAACAAAATGAACCCTGAAAACATGATCCTGAGTGAAAGGAGCCACAGACAAAAGGCCATGTATTGCATGATTCCACTGATAAGAATCCATGCCCGGAGGAGGCAGATCCAAAGTGGCAGCAAATCATGAGTGGCTGGACTGCCCAGTATGAAGGCTGGGGGAGGGGATACGGACTGACTGAAGACTGACTTGTGACACAGAGCTGAGCCAGCGGGCGCCAAGCACCCACCTACAGGGCCGAAGCCCAGCTGGCCGCCCCTCCCGGCCAGCTGCGCCCAGGCGAGGGACACGCCTCCTGAGCTCCCGTCAGGGCTGAGCTCCGGCAAGTTCCCACAGGCAAGTGGACAAACGCGGGTGTGCTGCAGGGTCCCCCCACCCTGCCCCCAGCCCCTCCTGCTGTCCCTAGGGATGGACCTACTCTTCTCCAGGTGCAGGAACAGCTTGGGCATGCTGGCGGACGTGTCCTGCTGCCGGCGCTTGGGCTGCGGCGAGGCGCTGCTCTCAGACAGCCTGTCGCTATTGGCAGAGTGGCGCGTGGAACGCCTCAGAGACTGCAAGGCTTCTGGCTCGGCTTTGCGCCTTTTGGGGGTGGCCGGTTCACCTGTGGTCGGCTGACTCTCCGTGGACTGTGGGGTGGACGGATTCAACAAAGGTGGGCTGGGCGAGAGCTCCTCCTGGTTCCTACGGAAGAAGTGGGGAGAGGGTCACGCAGCCCCGGTCTGCGGAGTCTTTGCAAAACCTGGAGAGGTTCTCGAATGTCCTCCTTCAGACCGAACGGGAAACGCAGTCTCAGCTGCTCTCCAGCAGGGTGGCACACGTAGAAAGGCCACCATTTCGCCCTCTCAGGCACTGTCCCTTTTACATTTGCCTACGAGAAGGTTCTCGACCAGGGGTGTCTGGCTGTCACAATTGGGAGGTGCTACTGGCAGCTAGTGGGTGGAGGCCAGGGATGCTGCTCAGCATCCCACAGAGCACAGGACAGACCACAGCAAAGAACGACAAGGCTGAAAATGCCAATAGGGCCAAAGTTGAGACACCCTGCTCACAAGAGTAAGAATAGCATTTTATTGTATCATAATGTTACTACTGAAAGCCTCAACTGTGTGAAAACACGCAGTTCACTGGGGACACTGGGAACATCGAGGTTCGGAGTACAGCATGGGGACACTGACGCAGGTCCCCAATGAGCTGTACAGCCCTCTCACCTGGGGTGACAGCAACGGGAAAGGCAGACAGGCTGAGAAAAGACATCCTGAGGCAGAGAACCAGAGACAGGGGGCACAAAGGGAGGAGGGGGTGGGAGGGAAAGGCGGCTTACGCAGAGGGCAGCGCGGCAAGTGGCGAGCTGTCAGCGCCCGCCCCCCCGGGAGCAGTCAGAAGGGGTGGTCGCAGACAAAGCAGGCAGTAAGGAGGCCAGAGGAGATGGATGTGTGGAAGTCACGAGAACACGCCGCTCAAAGGAAGAGGCACGAGGGAGACGTATCGCAGCTTATACCGATAAAAGCAGAGACTCTAGTCTGGGGGGGGTCTTTGCTTCCCTCACGGAAAAGAAATCTGGTCAGGCTTGGGCACCGATGGAGGTGCTGACGCAGCACAGTGAGAACAAAACTAACCTTTACTTGAAGGCCGCAGGTGGCCGGCCCTCATCAACTTCCTCATTTAACAATAACTGCCCTAGGAGACAGAAGTTCTCTCCTGAGCGGAGCGAGGAAAAAGGGAGAGGCTCAGAAGGCACCTCCCCAAGTCCGACAGCCAGTAAGGGAAGGAGCGAAATTTGAACCCGCGTCTCCCACCTCTCCTACCCTTCTCAGACTGTGTTCTCTTCACTCCACTGTCTTTGGAAAGAGGGAGAGAGCTGCTCAAAGTTGACCCAAATGCTCTACCCTGCAACTTACCTACTAGTGTTTGTGGCACTTTCCTTAATTGGAAGAAAAAATTTGGACGAAGTCACCTTTTTATACTGAACTTGTTCATATGGATACAGCAAAACCAATGGGAGAGTGTAATCAAAGGTGATTCTTAACCCATCCACCATCTCCTTACAAAGGTCAACGCTAGAAGGATTAAAAAGAAGAGATTAGAGAATGCAAGAGTTTGCAAACTGTCACAATAAGGGTGTAAATTTTTAATAACACAGAATTTTAAACACTATATATTATACCTAAACACAGAAAGAATGAAACGAATTTGTAGATGCCAACAATAAGGGATTAAGCGGCAACACTGGTTTACAAAATAAAGCACGGCGAGTACGCTGGCAATTTTCACTTGGAACACTGAGCACAAATGGTTCTGTTCAGTGCCACACGAGGCACCCAAGCAGCTTGTGCTGCACAAGGTGCGCAGACCCCGGTCACCAGGGGCGGAAGCGGGCAGGCCCGCTGAACGCCTAACACCTATTTGGACTTGAACAGCTACCTGTCTAAATCTACCCCAGCGGAGCCGCGCGAGCCAAGGCAAGTCTATGAGGACAATTACTCCGACTGGAATAAAGACGTGTTTGCAAACGAGCTCTGATAAAATTCTTATGGCCCATTCTGGTGCTTTTCAAGGAGAAAAAAATAGCTATTCTCCTAAAATACCTCACAGAACAAACTGGCCTTGGTCTTGCATCCAGACCAGATACACTTATTGAACATTTCAAAAAAGGGATATTTTGATGTTAAAATGTATACTAAGTGATATATCCAATGAATTCATAATAACTGAAATGGGGAAAAAAAATAACTGAAATGGAGACAGTACAGTCTCTTCTAAATGAAAGCCACTGCTGTCATACACAGAGAGAAGCACAAGATGACAACCCCTCGCCCCCGCCCCCCGCCACTCACTTCTTTTCCGCTGGGATATAATGTACATTCATGTTGGCGTGCGCCATAGCGTGATGATGACGAGGTCTCTCATTGGCTGAAAAGGCTGCATTGATGGCGAAATGCTTCACGTAGGATTCCAAAATTGTGATGATGTTGGTCTGGCACGGAAGTTTCACTAACTGTTAACAAAAATGTACACATCTGATGCACTCGCTGCACTGGATAAACTGTACGCTCCACCGAACAGTGGTCTTGCCTGTATCACCTTTTCAACTGAAAACTAAAGCCTACTTGGTTCAGAGAGACTCTTTTAAAAGAAATACGCCTTGAAGCTCTGATGTTTTTCATCTACTGATCGTATCACCATGTAGATTACAGGATTAATTTTTCAAACAAATACAAGCAGCGGTTATCATGTTAGTGATCCATTAGTACCAACCAGGGAGCCTCTCAGAACATATCCACAGCCGCCGCCGACCACACCAGAGTCAATTTCACCTCACGCCCTGGGGGGAAGCCCAGGCGCAAGGCTCCCTAGGGGACTCCAATGCGGAACCGCGGCTGGGAAAGACTGATACATTTTTAATCTCATCAGCACCAGAGCACTGTCAGGTAATTTAAAAACCTGCCTCGGTACAAAACTTAAAACAGAAATGTCATCCCCTTAAGGTTCTCCATAATTTGAGTCTATGACTACAAAACGCGGCGAAATGAACATCGCATCACGAGCCCGTGTTTTCTGCGCCCCCTGCACACCCGCTTCCTCCTGTTGATGTAGTAGCAGTCGTCCTCCAGCTTCTTCTTCAGAACTTCAGGGATGTCTATAGTGATTGTTCTTTCTTCCATCTCCCTTTTCCTGTGCGTCTCCACTTCTTCCTTCTGCAATAGCACAATTGCAGATTGTTCAACTCCTTAAAACGGCAGGAGAGTGTATGTGCAAAGGACTAACACATGAGCGCGCACTACAATACAAACCCAGGTGATCCGCAACATTTACCCCAGTAACGATACATGGTCTAAAGAAAAAGTACACGAAAGGCCGAAAGTGAACTTGTTTTAGGACACTAACCACACTGCAAATGCTCTCTTTTTTTCTTCCCCATTTAATTGTGCCAGCAGAATCTACACTAACTGGGAAGGCAGGCAGAAGATGCCAAACTCTAATATGCAACATTTACAAATAGTCACCATTGCCCCAGCTGGTGTGGCTCCGTGGCTTGAGCGCTGGCCTGCAGACCAAAGGGTGCCTGTTTTGATTCCCACTCAGGGCACACGCCTGGGTTGCAGGCCACGTCCCCAATCGGAGGCGTGTGAGAAGCAACTGATTGATGTTTCTCTCACACATCCACGTTTCCCTCCCTCCCTCCCCTTCTCCCTCCCTTCCCCTGTCTTTATAAATAAATAAAATATTTTTTAAAATAATCACCATTACAAAAATAAAGTTCATAATCGCACTGAAAAGAAAGAGCTAGCTACGATCTGTGGAAATGCTTTCTGGCTATAAAGAGCCCGTGACAGATTCGCACAGCGATTCTCAGTAAGGGTTGCTTTCCCTTAAGTAGGAAGTACTGTTACAAATGTATTGTTCCGTTACAAATGTATTATTCTGTTACAAATGTTTTCTGTTACAAATGTATTGTTCTGTTACAAATGTATCCTGTTACAAATGTCGTTACAAAACGCTTCCCAGCAGAAGAATGTTACCACTAAATATATACCAAAGACAGTTTTCACAATAAAAACTTTTTACCGCTTCAGTCTTTTCTTCCACGTCACTTTCTTCACTTACTGCTTCATCCTTTTCTTCACTACTGTCATCAGAGGAAGTGCTTATGGCTAGATAAAACAAAAAAACCCACAGCAACCCTGTATGATGTACTTCCCTACCTGGGGCAATTCTTTACGGGTGAAATGTCCTACTGCTGGGAACAGTAAACTGCAGTCTTACATATATTTTAAATGCTGGACAGAAACACTGTACCTTTCAGAATAGAAATTTATTTTGAAAAATATAACACCGATTTCAATGAATGGAAAAACCACACAAGAAAATGATGTAAAATTGTTGAGTCACCTAGGAGGCCCTGGTTACCCGCTGCACTGGAAAGCAAGGCCTAGTCCCCTGAGGCACCGAGGAGAAAACACGAGAATGAACCCCCGCCCCCCCAAGGGATCAGCACAAAGGCACTGGCCGAGAAGGCCGCGATGAGGAGCACGATCGATGAGGAGCACGATCGATGAGGACTAATTATGGACTTACTGGCTGCTACCTTCAACGTCAAAAACAAAAGTGGCAAACATTATGTATAATGAGCTCAAAACATTTCCCTGCCTGTCATTTCAAGGATTCCTCCCCGTCAATCCTGCAGTATAAAAGAACTAGGTAAAAGTTCTTTTAACTGCAGAAAGTCAGTCAAGACACTCACAGTTCTCATCATTTTTATCTTTTTCTTCACCGGGGAGGCTTTTTAAGACAGAATCGACACCAGGCAAGCGACAGCGCTTCTTCTTTCTTCCTGTGCTTCTGCAAAGAAAAACAAACATGAACGAGACAAGTTTTATGTTGACTGATATATGAGTCTTGAAGTAAAAACAAGACATAATAACAAAGGTTCTTAAGCATCTGACTAATAATTAAACTTTAAAACATAAACAGTGATCTCCATTTCAGAATATTATACAATATCCTTGCGGGAAACACAGCAGTTACTCACAATACAAGAGAAACACTCTTCGCTAACACAGTTTCAGTATGTCAAACTGCATAACGAAACCATGCTTGTCATAGCTTTACTTTTACATCATAAAAATTCTACATGCTAAAAGAAAAGACATCGTGATCATTTTTGTATCCTCACAGGCGAGCTACTGCTTTTCTTGCCAATTTACGCTGTAATCGCCGATTTTCATCGGTATCACGGAGGACATGATCTTCAGCGGCCCACCTATCCCAGCTAAAAAAAAAAACAAACAAAAAAGGACACAAAATTCAGTATTTTACTTTGCTATAAAACAACTGCTAAAAGCATCTCACAGGAACTGAAGTGTCCCAGAATTACTGACATTTTAGAAAACTATTTAAATATTTTTAAATCACAAAAAATGCAAACAAACTGAAGGAGGAACTCACTTCTACAAGCAACTGGGGTTTGCAGAATTACACACAGAGAACCCAAACATAATCAACTTAAAAGTAATCAGTCTTCTGGAAAGACAAGGTTTGGTTTGGTTTTGTTTTTTTTAAGAAAAGCAAAAACAGGACATGGAACTTTTCTACAAGTGTTTCTAAAACCTAAGAAGGAAGTTTGCAATGTTCTTGCGCTGCAGAAATGATCAATTTTCAGTCCGTTTTCTCGAGCACACTCACCTTCTGTTCCAACCATTAAAATGGATCAAATATTCTGGGATCTTTCTGCCTTTTTCGTCTTTCCCAACAATAACATCCACAATCTGAAACCAAAAAATATTGTCCACAAATGACTGAACATACAGAACACTGGAAGCTAGGTCAGGAAAACTAGACCATAGACCTTTCTGTTTTAAAAAAAGAAAGCATTCGCTCCTTTTTTAGATTGAGAGCTAGGCTGAAACATTTTTCCTTTCAATTCCATTTTTTTCCTGAGTGGATGCCTCAAAATAGGAAACATCCCTCCAACCTCCCCGTGATTGGTCTCTGAGTGTGGGACTGGGTACAGCTTCTAAAGCCATTGGCCAGCCAATTTGTCACTAAAGAAGAGTCCTGGCCAGACCACAGACTTGCAGCCCTGAGACCTCTGGGAGTTGTAGTCTTCCCTGCTCCACTGTGTCCAGGGACAGGATGGCTGGCAGATTTTGCCATCCCTTCCAGCAGTGTCCCCAGAGGGAACATCTGGGACAAATGACGGGGCGTGTCACCCCTGGTTAGACTTAAGGCGAGAACGATGGAGGGAAAGCAAGCAGAAAACAGAGACGGGGTTGCGGGGGCGGAGCGCTACTGTACAGCTGGCTGAGCCTGGGGGCCTTGGAAAGTCCCCCAATGAGCAGCGCTACTCAGACGCACTTGGGGCCCCGGGCCAGCCCCCACTCCCGCACTACGATGCCCACTACCTCTCGCCACCCCAGCCTAAGGTGCAGATGTGACTCAGTCCCAGGCGAGACCCCGTAACTTAGGTGATGGGCGCGGGACCCAGCTCGGGGACTGAAAGCATAAATGCTGCACTGCCCTAAAGGAAGGAAACACCGGGTCAACCTAGCCCTCGGGGCTTACGGGAGGGAGCCAAACACTACTGGGGCCCCAGAACAACGACGTCGCGACTCGACAGATAGCGCTACGGCGCTATGAATTAGGACCTGGGTCGGTTGGTCAGGGTGTCGCACGGGAGCCCACGCGGCGCTCCGCGTAGGATGAGACTTAACGCGCCATCCGTGAGCGGCCTCCGGGACGCGCGGGCCTTGATGACGTCACAAACGCAATCGACCCGCGACGACAGCCCCACGACACCGCAGCCGCGAGGTTTCAGGCGACGCGTGCGCAGCCCCATGCGGCGGACGGAAGCGGAAGCGCTTGGGCCCCGACTCCCCAGCGCGGCGCCCGCGAGCGCTCCCTGCCGTCCGCGCGGCGCCGTGCAGGCCCAGCTGTCACGGGCAGGGAGCGCCCGGGCCCCGCCGCCTACCCTGCTCCGCGCCACCATCCGCACCCACACCCGCACCCCGTCTCGGGGCCCCCGACCCACTCCTCCTCCCTGTCCCTCCGCGGCGGCACCTTGGCATCGTACAGCACTCGCGCCTTGGTGGGGTCAGGCTCGAAGCACAGCACTTTCTCCCCTGAGTGGAATTTAAATTTCATGCCCTCGCTCGCGCTCATTTGCTCATCGTGGCGGAGGGCGAGGCTCCGGGGCGGGCGGAGCGCGCGCGGTGGGGGACGGGGAGGTGGGGGCGGGGAGGTGGTGCGCTGCAGCGGGGGTGGGAGGGAGGAAACGGGGAATGGCGGAGGCTGCGGCCGCCCCGCCCTCGGTCCCGCCTCTGCCCGCCCTAAGCCGCTGCTGGACCTCCGAGCTGCCGGGGGCTCGCTCCGCCCCCCCCCACCCGAGCGTGTCCCCGCGAGTTTCCCCCAGGCTCGGGAGAGCTGCGATCGGAGAGCTCCAGCTGTGGCCAATATCTCCCCGCAGAGTGGCCTCTCCCGCCCTCGTGGGAAAGGCGGCTGACGCGGGCTGCTCCCACGGTGTCATCACGCCGGGCGTGCGCTCTCCAGCCTGCGTGTGGGTAGGTCTTAGGAGAGAGCTCGCCAGGGGTGGAACTGGCGGTGGTGAGGCCGGCCGGCGGCTGCCCTCCAGCGGCTCCTCTGAGCTCCCTGGCCGCGCCGCGCCGCGCCGCGCAGAGCTGCAGGTCGCCCCTTGTGGCTACCCAGAAAAGATCTGGGGCTGGAGTCAGGTCTAGATGGACAGTGGTCTTGGGCGGGGGCGTAGGATGGTGAGGGAGTGAATAAAGCGCTAAGGTAAACCTGGGCGAGGACAAGCAGGTGGCAGGCCTGGAGTCCCCCAGTGACAGTGGGTGAACAGGGGGCGATGAGAGTCCTTAACCAGGTCGTTAACATCTGAAGTCTCGTTTCCCAGTCCCCAACTTCTCCAAGTTGCTTCCTCAAGGCCTCCCTTCTCCAACACATTGAAAACTCTCTAAAGGTGGAAAATTCTGCTGGGCTGGTAATAGGAAGTACCTGCACAGAGAGGGTACTCAGGAGATATTCGACGGAAAGTGCTGGGAGACTTCCAGAAGGGCAAACTTCCAGAGACAGAAAAGACTGGGTGCTGTTTACCCCCCCCCCCCCATTTCCAGGAACGGCAAGTTTTGGGGCAGTGCAGCGGATAGTGGATTAAGACCTGGCTGGGACCAACTTTGAGGCTGTGAGATCGAAGTGAACTGTGGGCTCTCCGGGGCTCTGTTTTTGCCTCCAGAAATTTGCACTTGTCTCCCCTATCCCTGGGTTTCTGGTACACTTCCTTCACCTTTCAGGTTGGACACGCCAAGAGAAAAACCCTCAAGCTGCTCTAGATGGATCATACCCTCCTCCGGTGTTCCCTTCCAGCCTTATACTTATCCGTTTCTTGCATTTACTGCTCAGCAGTAGAAAAGGCTGTTCTTTTGCAAAATGCCCTCTTTCAGATGCTCAGGTTCTTGGAGCAGAGAGGGCGGGGCTGAGGGGAGATCTTCAGTTCATCATTGCATACTCATGGCATACAGTAAATATTTAATGAACAGACGACAGATTTATGACATAAAATCCACAAAACTCTGCCCAAATGGATGTGAAGGGGGAGAGGGAAGGAGGAATCTTGGGAGACTTTAGAAATTATTTTGACCTAATGAGTTGGGTGAATGATAAGTCCATTGGCCAGAATAAGGGCTGCCAGAGGAGGGATAGGTTGGGGGAAGAGGGCCGATAATACAGTGGAGAAGGCAGGGTTGAGGTCTTCATGGTGGCGCTCCCCAGGCACAGCAGGGGAACTTCTGGGGCGCAAGGAACAGCATGTCACAGCTAAAGCATAACTGAAATGTTACCTCTTATTTTTCTGGCTGGCGAATACATATTTCTTCAAAACTTGAGATGCTTTCTTTTTTTTTAAATCTCCATTTCCACTCCTTCTTATGTTCTTGAGCAAAGAAAGCCTTTTACCATGTCCCCTTAAAAAGTTCAGGAACACAAATGCCCTCAGCCTCCCCAAAGCTAGGAACCCCACCAATGGCAGCATCTCGTGATTAGGACTCACTAGAGAGGTCTCCATCTCTAACGTGGGTGGAGCATCTGTTTTTCCTTTTGGGTGTAAAGGTAAAAACACAGGGTGGGCTCTGGCACTGAGTCCCAAACTTGTCACTTCCTAGTTTTGTTACTGAACTCCAGGGGTTTACTGCTTGGGGTGTTCTGTTCAGGAATGAGATGTGGTCACAAAGCAGTTTTATTTCTTTGCAGCGAGTAAACGAGACAGAGGATTCATATCCAAAGCTCTTTCCCTGAAGGGAGGCTTAGCCCTTGTTTATATACTCGTACATTACTTGGTCAATTATATTTTGACTTTTTTCATTTGGCTACATTTATCCAGTAGAGTTCCTGCCCAGGTCATCCTGTTTACAGCTGCATTTACAAAATACTGTGCTACATTTTAACATTTAGCAAGAATAACATTTCATAATGTAATGGGGTGCAGAGCGGGGATCCCCTGAAAATAGCAGAGCTATCCCTCCACAACCCTCTGTTGAGGGAAGGGGGAAGTGGAAAATATGGCATTTAAAATACTTGGCATAACAGCGGCAAGTTACTAGCCATCCCTTCCCTGAAGGGAAGAGGACTGCTGCCCAGGGCCAAAGGTGTACGTGACTTTAAGAGCGTATAGTGACTCATGACTTAGCCAGGGGGGCTGGACTCCCACCCCCGATGTCCCTGTCTCACAGGGAACTCTCGCCCTGACTAAAGATGGCGGGTAAAAGACGGTAAAAGATATGGGGAATTGGCAAAAATGGCGGAGGCTAACACATCATAGGAGGGGCTGGATAGCAGGTCATGCAGGAAGTCTCAGGCCGAGCGTTTAAATGAGGGTGGGCTGAAAGGCTGTAGGAGGAGAGAGTCCCTCGTGAAAAGAAGAGGTCCGGAGTGCGTGAGAGAGACACGGGAGTGCACCGTGAGGTCTGGAGGGGGAGAAGTTCAGACTAGAGAAGCGGCAGAGCTGATGCAGCTGCAGGGGACCTGCCTAACCAAGCATGGATTCGTGGGAGGTGCTTGGAGCTGAACTGTGACCGAGAATGCAGAGTTGCGGACTTCTGCCTCTCTGAAGAACATACAGAGAAGCCCCTCTCTTGGGACTGTGCCCCCTGGACTCCACCATGATCCAGTGTAACATGGCACATGTTTCCCTGAACCATTACACAGAGGCTGAGAACAGTGTGCTCCAGATCCCGGAAGGAGAGAGCTGCTGCAAGAGGATGGCAGCTCTGAAACCCACAAGTCCACATTCCAGAGGACTTGTGCAGCCGGTTTAAGGACAGATAAGGATAGATAAGGATATGGGGACTTTCTGGGCATGGTTGTGGCTTGCGGCCTTTTCGGAAGCAAGGGAAGTGCTGAGTCTCACAGTACAGGGGGGCTCTGAGGAGTGCTCTCAGCGCCCCCCACCCCGAGGTTGGAACCCTGTTAATAAAAACCTGTTTCCTTCAACACTAATTCTTGGGTCATATGTCAAGGTGCCACATGGCTGAGCCCTGGTTTGCTGTTATAATAATCACATTTAGAACTTCCCAGATCTTGAGACCCTGTCCTATCTAACAGTTTGTGACCTTGGACAGGTGATTGGTCTCTCCGTGAGGCAGTTTTCTTATATTTAAAGTGAAGATTAATAGTGGCTCCTCCCTCACAGCGGTGTTTTAGGAATAAATCACTTTATTAAAGTGTATATGCTTTTGCATGAGTGCCTGGCATAAAATAAAATGCTAAGTATATACTTGCCATTAATATTCCTCAGCCATTTCTCCTTGTCTGGCATTCATTCATTCATTCATTCATTCAACAAATATTTATTGAGCCTCTATGTGCTGGATGCTAGACACACAAAGTAGAATACAGATGTTGCCTCTGGCCTCAGAGAGGACACGCTTCAGGCAGGGCAGGGCAGCGTGTGAGCAAGGGCAAGCCTGCTGTGGGCTCCGATAAAGCTGGGACAGAAGAGAGCAGGTGCGAGTGCTCACGTCTCTCTAGGAGGAGGGGCTGTGTTGAAAAAGCTCCAAAGAGGAAGTTGCTCTTTTTAAACAAAAAAAACTGAAGCATATTGAAACTTTTAAGAATTCATTTGAGCGAAACTCAATTGGAATTGGGTAGCACCAAACCAGAGGCTGTTAGGAGAGCTTCCCTGTCAGAAGCCCAGGGAAGGACTCTGAGAGACAAAAGGCAGAAACAAGGCAATTATTGACTGACTATAGCATAACGACAGTTGGCTGTTTGTGATTGGTCATCCTTGGCATTTTGATTTCCTAACCTTGAGGCACTTACTGGCTTAGATTTGGGTTTGTTTACATAAGCCTCCACAACATTAGAGCTACCTCAGTCTAATGGCTTCCGTTAATGAATTTAATAATTCCCCACATCAGTCATCTTCTCCTACATGATTGATTGACTAAAAATTTGGTGTTTGTGCTACTCTCGGTTACCATCCGGGTTCAGTTGCTCTTGTCTCATTGTGAAACTAATAGGTTATGACGGCAGATCCGTGGAAGAATTGTTTTTGCTGTTCATCTCATTATTTATCTTGTTTCTGTTTCTCTGCAGCTCACCGACGCCATCTGATGTCCTGCTGGCTGGCGGCTGTGGACACTAAACAGCTAACCATTATCTTAAGTTATCTTTCTTGCTGACACATTGTGTAAGAGATAAAATGAGCTTATCTGACTGTTGGTAAATGTAGGTAAAATAAATGTATTATATTTAATGCCTGTTTTAATTAAAACAACAAATTTGAACTAGCTTGTATTTACTGAAGATAATCCTAGATCATGTGAACATGAAAAACACTTGGGTTCTATATTTCTGACAGTATACTTGATTTGTATAAATGCTTGTTTGTCTTTAAGCTTATTAAATATTTTTACAAATTAATTTTAGGAAAACCATCCCACGATAGAAAAATATAACATATCTGTAACATCCATATGTAGACATACATAGACACACAGACAGCTGCAGAGATCTTAGGCTTTCATTTTAAAATTTTAGCCATGAGACAGATACAATAATGCAAAATTCATTAGTTATAAAGGAGTGGTTGGATCGAAATTCTGCATCTGGCAGATGGAATAAGTTAAGGTTACCTGCTCAGACAGCTAAAGCTTTTATTATTTTTTTTGTGGAAAAACCTTTTAAGATTTTTCATTCATCTAATTTCCAAATAACTTT